TATTCCAACCCATCGACGTTCCTCGCCGGCCGCCCGAACAGCTGTCGTCACGCCGTTCAGCCGAAAAGGGTAACATTCCGGTAAAATCTACCTCGGGCTCATCCCCGCCCGCCCATCGCGCCGATCGTACGACTACACTACATTTTCACATTCCMCCCCGGCGCGCAGCTAGCCACGGCCCTCCCCCCGCGGCTGATGCTCCTTAAGGGGTAGGATGGTGCTGCACTTTTTTCGTTCTTTTTTTTTTTTTTTAATCTCAGTCGTCTCTAGTACACCAAATTAGGTTATGTCTAGGGTTGGAGCAATGGCTCGTAAGCTAAACTGGCTGAGGCTGCCAGAATATCTCCAGGTGGAATTGTGAGGTCCCCGGCCTCCGGTTACCTGGTTATAATAAATGGATTGTTTACAAGAAACCGGTTACCTGGTTATAATAATGGATTGTTTACAAGAAAAAAAAAAATTAAAAAAAATTAGGTTATGTATAAAAAAAAAAAAAAAAAAGGTTATGTAAGAAACTTCGATATTCCTTTGTACTGTGACTGATCAAATATTTGAAATCTACTCCATGTTTGTGATCGCCTGTTGCTGCTGCAGGAATGGGATGCATTGATGTTGGGTGAGTCTCCTCTTCTGCAGCAGCTGCACACTGTTCGCATGAAGCTGAGGCAGAATCTGCAATGTTTCAGAGCAATCTACTTCAGCTGGGTGTGGTAATGTCTTGTCGTTTTCGCGGAAGCATACCCTGCAGCCCTTCGGCCTTGTGCACTTGAAAAAGCACGCTGGCCTTCGGCCATCTGACTGCGGTTGGTCAAAACCACAAAGATTGCCACCCTAACAGCTGAAAGAGGGTTCTCCGGTCCTCTCTCCCTTTCTCTCTCTCTCTCTCTCTCTCTCTCTCTCTCTCTCCCCGAGCGAGTGTTCATGCTCTCCGTTTGTGGCGATGGCGATGGCGACGGGGATGGCAATCGCTATGGCGTGGCCCGCCCTCTCTCAGATAGGAATGACGGTTTATGAGAAGAGGAAGGAGAGGTTGAGTGAGATGGTGCATGGATTCAGCACGAGAGGCACGGAGAAGAGGAAGAACCGCCCAATCACGTCGCCCAACAGCAGCGCTGCTGCCACACAAGTGAGCTGCAACGTGTGGATTCTGCCGAAGGTGGAGAAGATCTGGAAGAGGGGAGAGAGAGAGAATCTTGCGACGACGAGGGAGGGACCTCAGGAGCTGGCGCAGAAGAAGATCGGTCGATCGGGTTCCCGATCCCGGTGGGCGGCGGCGGAGACTGGCCTCCGAATCGCGGCGGCGGCGGTAGCAGTTTGGTCGGGATCTGGTCAAGGACAGCGTTGGAGGAGTCCCGGCTGTAGCGGAGGAAGGAGGGGAAGGGATGGGGATAGGGATAGGCGCGTGCGCAACGAAGTAGGGGTGTCGGGATCGCGATGGGCGGCAGATGAAGATGTCGCTCGCGGAGCGACAACGTCGATGGCGACGGCGCGCGCGCGACGCGGCCGGAGGATCAGGAGGAATGGGATCGGAGCGGAGGCGGTCCTTATCGACTACTATGAAGGCAGATCCCGACAGGAGGAGATGTGGAAGATGCGGGGAAGGAGATGGAGGAGGTGGAAGCGGATCGCCGGTCGGGATCGGGCGATCACAGCAGTGCGGGCAGCAGCGGACGTGGGAAAAGGATCCGTATGTTATCACAGGAGTGTCGTAGCCGGAGGAGGAGGAAGGCGCAAGGAGGAGGAGGAGAAGGGGCAGGGAGGGGAGAAGGCGGCACCCTCTCTCTCTCTGCTTCCTAGAGACGTGATTGTATGGCTACCTCCTACGTACCATTCATGCATGGTTTCTACAGAAGCCAAGGGGGAGAGAGAGAATGACCAGATGGAGGAGGAGGAGGAGGAGGAGGAGGGGGGAGGCGAAGAATGCTTGCTCCGCCGGTATCCCGTCTTATACGTGCACGACGGACAGAACCTGTTCGATCGGGATACGAGCTTTATAGGAGAGACTTGGCAGTTAGGAGAAACAGCCAGCCGGTTGATGACGATGGACATGCAACAGCACCAGCCGCAGGAGGAAAAGGAGAAAGAGGAGGAGGAGGAGGAGGAGGAGGAGGAGGAGGAGGAGGAGGAGGAGGACAGGGATGGGAGTTTTGGCACGTGTCCAATTAGGGAGGCAATCATCGTAGGCATTTATAATACTCAGGACAGACTGGAGGAGTACAGCAGCCTGCATAAGAAGGGGAGAGAATACTTGCACTTGCTCGTTAATTACATCAAGCCGTTGATTGATTCGGCTTATCGAACGATTCCGGACAGAGATTCGACATTCACGATGGGTAGTTCAATGGGCGGTCAGATTGCATTTGCTGCTGCATGGAACTATCCCGAAGTGTTTGGCGGGGCGGCATGCTTGTCGCCCGTCTTCCCGCCGCAATTGATACGGAGAGTGGCATTGGCGCGCAGTGATGGGCGTGGGCGTGGGCACGGGGGTGGGGTTGATGAGCGAAGGAAACACTTAAGATTGTATGTTGATAACGGAGGGGACAGGAGGGACAGACAGCTCCAGCCGGGCGTAGATGGGATGCTCGAGGCGCTGACACGTCAGCAGAGATGGCGTGTCATCGCTGATGGAGCCTCAGGCGGACACGTGGCAGACAGTGGGAGTAGGAGGAGGAGGAAGAAGAAGAAGCCTGACCCGTCGACAAGTGGCGATGGCGGCCAAAGCCAATCATTGCTCTCAAATTCCTCTCAGGTACCCTTTGCTAAAAATCGCGGGAACGAGCCTCGGCAGGAGAGCACGTGTTCTTCTTCGCTTTCCTCTTCTTCAGCATCTCTTGGCTCTTCTTCTTTTGCGTCTTTTGCTTCTTTTGCTTCTGCTGATAATGCTGATAATGCTGGTGGTGCGTGTATTGGCGGGAAGAAGGAAAAGGGAGGGAAAGGGAAAGGTGGAGGCGAGGAAGTGGAAGAGAAGGAGGAGGAGGAGGAGGAGGAGGAGGAGGAGGAGGAGGAGGAGGAGGAAGGGTTTGATATGGAGTTATGGAGGAGAATAAGCATGGAGGACGAGGGAGGTGGAGAAGAGGAGGAGGGAGGTGAAGGGGTAGACAGTCGTTCTGTCGCTCTCGAGGAAGTGGCGGCGGCGACCGACACCATGCCACGTGGCACGAGCGCCAGCGAAAACTCGTTCGAGCGCGCGGATCAGGAGAAAAACACGATTGTCATTATGTGCTACAGAGATGAGCAAGCTCGGCATCAAGAGTCAGCGTGGGCTGACCGTGTGTGGAGGCCTTTTACTTTCCTCCTTGGTCGTTATCCCCCTGGATCGCATAAGTAACCTTCTTCTTCGGCCGATGATTGATTGATTGATTGATTGATTGACCAATGTATAAATCAACGGTTGTGCTTTTCGGTCGACAGCTAAGGAGGTCAGAGCCAGCGATCGAATGTATCGGGGCATTAATTAAGGAGTTGATGGACAAGGAATTGAACTAGCAGAGTGAAGTTAATCAAGCAAGCAATCGATTATTCAATCAATCGATCAATCAATCAATCGATTGATCAACCGATCAATCGATCAATCAATCAATCAATCAATCAATCAATCGACTGATCAGCCGATCAATCAATCAATCAACCAATCAGCTAATCAATCAATTTACTAATCCATCGATCACTAAATCACTACGTCAATCAATCACTGATTCAACAAATCAATCATTTGAATGAATAAAGGAGGTGGTGATGGCTACGCAATTGAGCGTGCGAAGTCAATCAATCAATCAATCAATCAATCAATCAATCAATCAAATCCCTGGGATCCAATTCTATTCGGGTACTTCAGAAGTGAAAAGCATATCATCGTGGATATGAACATCGGTGTGTTTAAAATAAAATTAAAAATAAATAAAATGAACCAAATTTGTGTGTCCTCTCGAGAAAGATCCAGAAAAAAAAAAAAGAAAAAAAAAGATCCGATTCCCTAGTGGCGAAACGGATTCCTTGGCATAAGGCCAGCCCGCATTCACGTTTTTTTTTTTTTTGGTAGGCGTCACTTTTTTTTTTTTTTTTTTTTTTGGTAGACGGCAGCTTCTTTGACTCTTTTGGGTGAGTTGCGTTCTTTGATGAGATCTGAAGGCGCGCGGGTTATTTCACCCACCGTCTTCACCCGAATAGAACGCCCCGGTCATTATCGATGTATCTAGACCAAGAGTTGCCCGAAATACAGCTGCACTGACCGCGCGTCCTATTCGTGTGAACACGATAGGGTCGTTCAGTCCGCTAAGGAGAGAGATCTCTAGGACGGACTCGCTCCTGCTGTATTAGCATGGAAGATAATTGCAAGTTTTTTTTTTTTTTTTTTTTTTGAAATTAATTGCGAGGTTTTGGGACAATGTATATTAAGAGTATATAAGAAAAATAAAAGGTCAAAAATAAATCCCTCCATGGAACATAATTGCGAGTTTTTGCTCACACATCTGTACTGACACTACAGACATCAAGGGTAATTCATCTCATCTGGTACTCATGCATTCCTGTATTCATGTATTCAAGGGACGCTGACCCGTTTTCCAGCAGGTGATGCTCCTCACCAATAGATGGAGCTGTTTGTGTTTGAAAAAAAAAAAAGAAAAAAAAAAAAAGAGAGAGTATAAGAAAAATAAAAGGGCAAAAATAAGTCCCCACCTCTGTACACGGGCATAAAAGTTCGACAACAAAAGTTGGATTGACACTCTGGCAAAGCTTTGCAATTAGTACCCCTTTGTGATAATTGCAAAGCAGTCCCTCCATCTCATCAAGTGAGGTGCTGCAGTGGCAGCAGCAAAGGACCACCTTTCATGCCACACAACTGCAACTGCAACTGCAACTACAACTGGAACTGGAGCTGGAACTGGAGCTGGAACTGGAGCTGGAACTGGAACTGGAGCTGGAACTGGAACTGGAACTGGAGCTGGAACTGGAACTGCAATTGTGGGCAAGATGTGCAAGTAGCAAAGTCCTTGCAAGCGAACTGCCATGGACGGCAGAAACGAGTTTGGCGCCCAGGGCCCAAAAAGTGATCCTCATGTGATCATAGAATTGGTTACTGCCGTGGCAATCGGCTTGACGAGAGAGAGAGAGAGAGAATACCCGGCCCGCCACCGAGTGGGAAATTGCAAACAGTTACTAGATGGAGGCCCAAGTTTGTTCCTACTGGTGGGAGAGGGGCAAATTGGAGGAGGTTGGGGGGGGGGGGGGGGGAGAGAGAGAGAGAGAGAGAGAGAGAGAGAGAGAGAGAGAGAGAGAGAGAGAGGAGCAAAATTGGAGGAGGTAACTCGGTTTGGGATATATGGGATATAAGGGGGGTTGGCTCAAGTAGCAGGACGCAATTATTCCGCTTGAAATGCATTTTTTCAAGATAAAGGATCTTGGAAATGACAAGACAATGACCTTAAAACTCATTAGTAGGATGCTTAACAGGACTGTGCAAACAGCAGCAACCATACGTCAACTACGATGAGCACACAAGTCATTCCCGCTCGATGCAAGGGGAAAGAAAAAAAGATTGTGGTCTATCGTTTTTTCCTAAATGATACACGTATTTTTTTTTGGGACTGTAAACGATACATGTATATATATATTTTTTCCATGTAAAAGTAGTTGTTGGTTGGGTTTTGTGTGTGGTGAAGCAAGAAGATGTGGATGCAAGTCCAGAAGAGGGGGGGAGGGGTAACCTTCCCTTCTCCGCAACTGCGGGAAAAAAAAAAATAGAGGATTTCAAAACGCACATTCTTAAATTTTGATTAGAATAAATTGTCTTAGCTTTGCTGATGTGCACGAACGTAAGAGCTTGTAATTTCATTGAGTATATAATTCATTCAAATGGTCATATATTATTTGTAAGAGAAAACTACGGCGCAGTCAGGGTTACAGTTTGTAATAATTATTGCATTTGAAACTGCGTTTTAGCAAATTAGTCAGGGCCCGAGTTTCAATTGCAGTTGAAACTGCATTTTGGCAGTTTGAAACTCGGGCTGGCTTTTTCTAGCAGTTCAGTCAGACACATGGCCGTTTCTTTCTTTCTTCGGTGCTTTTTTTTTTTTTTTTTCGGTTGCGTGCCGTGCTGTGCCGCTCCGCGGCTTAAAAAAAAAAAAAAGAAAACAGCCCCATGGTTGGGCCACGGCCGAGATGTCTCGGCCACACCCCAGACTGGCCACGGCCGAGATGTCTCGGCCACACCCCAGATTGGCCACGGCCGAGATGTCTCGGCCACAGCCGAGATTCGCAGGTACTACCCTTCACAGGCAAACGCGAAGTCTCAAGAGTAGCCTACTCGGAGGAAGTGGGGGGCTCGGGGCAGGGATGGAGGCCAAAAAAAGAAAAAAGAAAAAGGAGAAATAAAAAAGCAAAGAAACGAGGAACTTCGGATCCACCTACGTCGGGAAGGCCCTCAGGTCACCAGTGCTTTGAGGAATGTATCTGGCCAGGAAGTGACGATCATGAAACTGGTCGTTGTCCTGTTTTGTTTCTTGTTGTCAGGTCGCCCTGCCAGCCAGGCAGGGCGGATTGCACGCGAGGCAGCTAACCGCCTCTCTTCATTCAGTTCCAGACAAGTACTGTGGAATCCTGTATCTGACCGCAATCACAGCATAAGGGATGTTTTTTTTTGTTTTCGCGGATAGACTAGGGCCCTGACTGAACTGCCACTGAAAGGCAGCCCGAGTTTCAACTGCAAGCCTCTGAGGGCATACTCACACGGGGACCAAAAGAACCAAAAATTTGAGGCATCTGGGTATGGTTATTTGGGTCGTTTGGTCCCTTTGTGGTCACACGTGCGGACTTCGTCCAGAAAGGACGAAGTCGCAACCCTGACACTTTGCACTCAGGGCAAGGTCGTGTGGTCACACGAGGGGACACCAAAGAAAAGAAAAAAAAAAGAAAAAAAAAGAAAAGAAAAACAACTTCGGCTGGGGCACGGTTCCACTAGCAAAGGAGTAAGGTAAACCGCGTCCCACAAACACCTTTGGGACATCTGCGGGACATCGTCCGACCACTGATGCAGGAGAATCGGATGTCAGCAAAATTGCCAGGGAGTTATATTCTGAAGTGGTGTTTTTTTTTTTTTTTTTTTTGTGCTTTTTTTTTCCAGTTTCCAAGATAGAGGCGGGACAAGAAAATAGAAAGACTCATTTTAATTGGCAGCTCTTCAAAAGATTAAAAAAAATCAAGTACTCAAGGGCATAATTTTGACCCCCTTCTTTTTGTGGGTCAATTGTTAGCCCCATCCAGTACTTCGATTCTCTCAAAATATACGAAATGCACGCTTCAGCATGGCAACCGTCAGAGGAGGGAGTCCCATCAGGCACACGAAGGGACTCCCTCGAGGTGGTATGCGAGACTGCAACAGTCACGTACCACTCTGTCCTGATTAGGTATTGGCTGGGTGGGGAGCAGAGGGTGGAGACGGGAGGGTTAGTGGGACGGCTGCACTTTCAAAAGTCCGACTTCTTCCCATCTTGGGAAATGTACCGTCGCCATTTTTCTTTTTTTTAAGTCTTTAAAATTACTTTTCTTCCTTTTCTTACAGTGCCGCACAGGTCCAAATAGGCCATGACTTGTGTGCTAGTGGAACCGTGCCCCTGGTTGTCTTATTCTTCTACGGTTTTCTACAAATTGAGGAAAGGAAACGAAAAAAGCGTTTGGTCATTTGAGACCACCTCTGGAGGTGGTCTCAAAAAGGGTACCCCCGCGGCCTCGCAGGCCACTGACATTTGGTCACAATTTGAGGCATTTGGGTACAGGGCCAACCCCGTGTGACCACAAAAATGCCTCAAATTTTGGGATTTTGGTTCATTTGGTCCCCGTGTGAGTATGCCCTGAGTGTAGGCTGGGTTTTGTGTGTGGTGAAGCCAGATGTGGATCCAAGTCCTATGAGGGTGATGGGGGGAGAGGGCCCCCTGACAACCTGAAGAAAAAACAAAAATGTTAACTGTAACTATGTATTACAATATAGTTGGGAAAAAAAAAAGTACATTCGCAACTGTATTCTAATACACTAGCTGGAAAAAAAAAGGCAAAAAGAATATTTGCAAGGGGTAACTAGGGCGCAGTCACGAAAGCAGTTTGTAAATGCATTTCAAACTGCCTCTTTGGAAGCAAAACATCAGCATACACACAAGTATCAGAGACACTTGAAAAGTCGCAGTGCGGTCCCAAGTTTCAACTGCAGTAGAAACTCTTGACATGCACAAAAGTCGCAAGGCCGAGAGTTTGCAACTGCAGTCCAATCCGGCATGTGTCATTTTTATTTATTTATTTTTTATTATTATTATTATTTTTTAATCTCGGATGTGGCCGAGGCATCGCGGCCGTGGCCTAGTCACGCCGCGAGATGCTCTCTCTCTCTCTTCTTTTTTTTTTTTTTTTTTTTTTTTTTTTTTTTTTTTTTTTTTTTTTTTTTTTTTTTTTTTTTTTTTTTTTTTTTTTTAACCTCGGATGTGGCCGAGGCATTGCAGCCGTGGCCAGCCATGCGACGGGGCTGAGATTGGAAAAAAAAAAAAAAAAAAAAGGAGGAGGGCCTTGCTCCACTATTCTTGACATGCACAGAAGACAAAAATCAGGGCGCTGTATCTTTCCATGTTCTAGCGGAAGATTCACTCTCGTTTTGCACATTTCGAGAGTAGTGGAGCGAGGGGGGGAAATGTGCAAAACGAGAGTGAATCTTCCGCTAGAACATTTGCCATGGTGTTCATTGCTTTATTATACTTGGCATGTCGTGTTCGGGCTTTTTGTTATATCTCGGTGTTGTCTCTGATCTTGCCTGTTTCTTCTTCTTCTTCTTCTTTTTTTTTTTTTTCTTCTTCTTCTTCGTCTTCTCTTTTTTTTTCTTCTTCTTCTTCTTCTTCTTCTTCTTCTTCTTCTTCTTCTTCTTCTTCTCTCCTCCTCCTCTTGCCCTCCCTGATCTCAGTCTTCTTTCTCCGATTGGATCCTGTCAACTGCTTCGGTCGTTGGTCATTTGCTGAAGTTTGTCGTATTGGCTTAAACTAGAACATGGAAAGATGTGCGGCCACGAGGCCCCAAAGATGACACGCATGGGTCGGGAACTCTGAGAAGGAAAAACAAAAGAGAAAAAAAAAAAGGAAAAGAAACTGGGTCGTTGTCAGCACGTGTATCCCCTAGGGCCTCTGCGTTGTTGTCAGCCCGTGTATCTCGTTGGGCCTCTGTATCCCCGTTGCACCAAAGACAAAAATCATGGTGCTGTATCTTTCCATGTTCTAGCGAAGATTCACTCTCGTTTTGCACATTTCGAGATGGATCGTGGAAACTGAGAGAGCGAATCTTCCGCTAGAACATCGAAACATACAGCGCCATGATCTTTTCTTTTATTCTTGTTGTTTTTTTTTTTTTTTTTTTTTTTGGAGAACGGCCTGCCCTTCCTACGTGGATGTCAAGACTGCCGTTACAAACTCTTCCCTGAGACAGCCACCATGCCACGGAGGAGTTTGGCTGCTTCGGTAGGCTTGCTGAGGAGGTGCTTCGGCCGGCTCGGTGGGGAGGTGCTTCGGCTGGCTCGGTGGGGAGGTGCTTCGGCCGGCTTGGTGGGGAGGTGATGGGGAGGTGCTTCGGCCAGGTCGGTGGGGAGGTGCTTCGGTAGGCTTGGTGGGAGGTGGTGTGGAGGTGGTGGGGAGGTACTTCGGTCGGCTCGGTGGGAAGGTGCTTCGGACGGGTCGGTGGAGAGGTGGTAGGGAGGTGCTTCGGCCGGCTCGGTGGGGAGGTGGTGGGGAGGTGCTTCGGC